ATTACAGTGCCAGCAAAGTCCCTCAAACCTCTCTGAAAGCTGCCCTTTTCTGGCCTTGAATCCAGATGACTGTACCAACCTCGGTATCACTGTGCTGGACTTAATGTAGGATTGAAATTCAAGAGCTCTAGCCATTGCATCCTGCGTAGTAGAGGGGTGTGCTAGCTTCACTTGTATCTCTAGTTGTGGACTGTTCAAGGCGTTTACCAACTGATCTCTCAGCAACAACTTGAGGAGATCGGGTGGTGCAGTTGGGTAGGCCTTGTGTGCCATACTTTTCAAGTCCTGAGCCAGCTCTTGCAGGCTCTCCCCTTTAGCACGGACTCTCGTCCTAAGCCTAGCCCTGTAGACTTCAGACTGATTTTGGGTTTCATACCTGAGTTCTAGAGCCACTAACAGTGCTTTATAGTTGTGCCTGTCGTCTGCTGACAACTGTCCAAGTATTTCCAGTGGTTCTTCAAGCTCGTTGCCAGATATACTGGTTTCTGCTCCTCTGTCCATCCATTCATCTCGGCCAGGAGCTCAAATTGTGCTCCTTATGCTTCCCACGGTGCCTTCCCATCGAATTCCTGTGGCTTCCTTCATACTGGATCACCCCTTTTGCTGACATTCATATCTGGGATGTGACTTCTAACAGGACTGAAGATGTCTGCATTAGGGTTTAGCTACGGGGTCTAGAAGGGGCTTGCCATTGTCTGGGGCTGATTAAGTCGATGGTTAATGTATCATCCTTGTGTAAAAGGCAATAAATCATCCTTTAATGTATTTAATTCGCTTTGAAATTTACTAATGTTTTCCATTTGTACTTCTTGCCACTGTTGGAGACACTTCCATCCACTGCTGTAGTCTCTCTTTTTGTTCATTTTCTTTCTCCTCCAACCACTGCTGCAGTCTCTCTTGTTTATTTTCTTTCTCCCCCAATAGCTGTTGTAATCTTTCTTCTTGTTTCTTTTCTCGTTCTTCTTGTTTCTTTTCTTTTTCCTCCAACAACTGCTGTAATCTCTCTTGTTTATTTTGCTGTTGGAGCTGCCACTGTTGCAGGTTTTCTTGCCACTGCTGTAATCTCTCTTCTTGTTTCTTTTCTTTTCCTCCAGACTGCTGTATCTCTCTTGTTTATTTTGCTGTTCCAGCTGCCACTGTTGCTAGGTTTTCGTGTCAACTGCTGTTGTCTCTCTTCT